GGAGAACAGAGAACTGGTCTGGTATATAGGAGTGAAGAAGGTATTAGATGGGCATACGTAGGTGACATTTTTCACATGAATTGTGGTGGTGCTTCTCTTCCTGACATTCCCCTATATACAAAGGATGGAGGATGTAGAGTGTCTTCTGACCTCCTCTGCTCCCCTTTGACCTCCTCAGGGACTCTGAATTAAACTGTTGACATTTGTCTGAATTGATTATCAGCTGAGGAACAAGGGCTGCTCATTGTTGGCTCCCTAGAGGGCCATTAACTTGAATCAGAGATAAATTCTAACAATGCCCAGCAAACTCCTCACACATCACAGCACAGTGAAAACACTGATTTTCAGTGTTTCGGAGTGAGCTACCTGCTACACAATGTTCTGAGGCTCCTGGCTGCTCCACGGTGTTCAGAGGCTCCTGGCTGCTCCATGGTGTTCAGAGGCTCCTGGCTGCTTCACATTGTTCAGAGGCTCCTGGCTGCTCCACGGTGTTGAGAGGCTCCTGGCTGCTCCACGGTGTTCAGAGGCTCCTGGCTGCCCCACAGTGTTCAGAGTCTCCTGGCTGCTCCACAGTGTTCAGAGGCTCCTGGCTGCTCCACGGTGTTCAGAGGCTCCTGGTTGCTCCACGGTGTTCAGAGGATCCTGGCTGCTCCAGGGTGTTCAGAGCTACTGCCTGCTCCACAGTGTTTAGGGGCTCCTACCTTCTACACAATGTTCAGGGGCTTCTGTCTGCTAAACAATGTTCAGAGACTCATGCCTGCTACACAGTACTCACAGGCTTCAGCCTGCTACATAGTGTTCAGAGGCACTTGCCTGCTACACAGTGTTCAGAAGCTCCTGCATGCTACACAGTGTTCGGAGGCTCCTGTCTGCTCTACTGTGTTCAGAGGCTCCTGTCTGCTACATAGTGTTCAGAGGCGCCTGGCTGCATTAAAGTGTTCAGAAGCTTCTGCCTGCTACACAGTGTTCAGAGGCTTTTTGTTACATGGTGCTGGGTAGCCTCTGCCTGTTTTACAGTGTTCAGAGGTCTGCTACATATGTGTTCAGAGGCTCCTGCCTGCTACCCCGTGTTCAGGGGCACCTGCCTGGCTATTCTTTGCAAAGTGAGCATGTTCTGTGCCTTTAGTAAATCAACCCCAATGCTCACAGGTAACGTGCCAGTTACCAGTTCTATTATCTGTTATCTGGGACAGTCTAAATGTTACTATTGAACTTAGAAAAGCATTCAGTTGCAACTTGTATAAAGCGTTCAGAGGCGACTTCCCTGTTACACAAAGTTTGGAGATGGACTGCCCATTATAGGAGACTGATCATGGAAACATAGAGGCTGCCATTGCTGGCCACACAGTTGATTGGCTGTCATTCTGACACTCTTGCTTCAGTATTTTGTGTCACTGACCTAGAAAAAGTTTGCAGATATTTCTGCCTTTCTTGACCTGCAAACTTGTTCTGGTTTAGTGATTCAGAAAGCAGTTTAGCCAGCGGATCAGCATAACAGCCAGACAACTAGTATTTTCAAAAGGAAATCAGTAATTGCAACCCAGATATTTAGCTCATGACACAATCTAAGAGGAGCACCCTGCATGTTAAGCCGGATTCCATCCCCAACATAACAGTCCAGGCAGATGCTAAATCGTTAGGGCTACCAGAGGGGGGTGATAGTAAAAATATATCTGCCATTGGACAATTCCTCCATAAAAGGCAGCTTTATAATGCAGCCAATAAACCAGAGCAGTCTGCCATAACCAACAACCAATAAGATTTTAGTTTCCTGAGGTCAGACCACAGAAAGCTGATTTCTGATTGGATGAAAAACAAGGCACATGTCTATCAAATCTAACACAACAAATCAAAACCTCCCTGCGTCAAGCATTACTGACCTTCCTGCATTAGCTTACTATAGGTTACTTACCTTTTAACACTCATAAAATCAAATAATAAAGAGGAAATTATTAAAGGGGTAATTAGTGGGCTCACTCCAGTATAGCAAAAAGTTTAAATAATTTCTTTTTACAAGTACAATGATTAGAAAAAAAAAGAATACTTTATATCCCTTTTAATAAACCTGCGATCATTCTAAAACTTCAGTCTGCTGTGGGATATTTAGAGGCAGGGCTATTGCCTCGGGCGGCATCCCTTTGGGTCACATGGGTGGGTGGCAGACAGAGGAGCATAGCCACTCTGCTGCACAATGTGTGCAGTATGCGTGCCACCCCCTCTCCAGCCATAGTGTCCCAGATTGCCAAGAGCCAGACAGGGAGATGTGTAAGGGCTCTGCATCTCCCTGCCGAGCTTTTAGCAACCTGGGATGCTTTTGCCAGTGTCCTACCAAGCTACTGGCAACCATTGACATCACTGGTAGCCAGGAGCTCGGCGGGATGCCGACCAGAGCATCCCAGGTTGCTAAGAGCTGGGCATCGAAATGCAGAGCCCTTACACATCTCTCCATCTGGTGCTTAGTGGCATCACTCTCCACCAGCAATATTGGTCCCATTGCAGCTGGTTGCTTAGGAATTCCCAATTGGCCAAGCACAGAGGGGCAACCACAGGGGCTAAAGTGTGGCTAATGGCACCGCATATGTAATGCATTTTGTTGTCAAAATGGCGACTTTGTCAAACAATTGGTGACAACTGGAGGATACATATTTTTAACACCACCTCTGAGAAATGCAATATTTGACGTCAATGGATCTGGAGTTGGATGATGTACTATAGCTCTGCAGCGTCGCCTTGAATTTTGTAGAGTTTTTTGTTGTATATCTGCAATTCTAAGCGCCTCTGATTCCTGTGTGTGGCGCACTGTCATCTATTGAAATTGTTTGTGTGTGGAATTCATTTCCATTTGCCTCCTTTATACTGCAAAGAGAACTCTTCATTAACATTGTGCCATAGGGGAGACCCACTGAAAGCCATTGTGGTCTATATCTTATGGATCATATATGTGTCTTCATTGACAAACCGCCTGATAATTGTGCTATCATACACACCTGGAACATTTATTCAGACATCACCTTTATTAGATGTATAGAGATCTGGAGGCTTCACTTATAAAAAGTTTCCAATTTAGTTTATATCTAGTTATGGATTGTAGCGATATAAATTGATATTGCATAGAATGGATAAAGATTGCTTTCCTGCTCTCTGTTGGATATGCTATAAGAATTGGAACTGTTCCATCAGATACCGTCATTATATATTTACTTTCTGATACCACAATTGGCAATAATTCAAGTTCTTTGGAAATTCTGAAGAGAAGAATCTTACAGTATTGTGACTTACCTTTGCTTGCCTGGGGAGCTCCTTATGACAAAGACCATACAGATATTTTGGATGCTGTTTTTCATGTCTATGTAGATCACCCTGAGATATACTAGGGGTTCGTTCTTAACACTTTTTTAAGGCGTTTTTCATTCAATTAAGTCAATTGTGGCCATTAGAATAATATTCTTTTGGCTTTTTAACACCTTTTTCTATAAATATCTTTGTGATACTTTAGGCTTTTATTTTAATAGTTCCATGATAATACTTTAAAGTCTAAACTTCAAGTGACGCTAAACACTAAGCTGAAAAATGAAAACAATTGCAGACACCACATCTAAGGACTGGTATGCTTCAATATTTGACATGTTTGTTCTTAGTGACACAAAACTCAGGAGCTAAATCTTAAACATGCATTCAAGGACCCTAACTATTAACAAAAATGTATCCTATTTGTGTATCACTCGGCTGTAGATCCTCCAATCATCTCTGAATTGGTGCTGACACTGTCCTTCCTTCTGGAGGGGTGCTACTTTTGTTCCCCATGGTCCCTGTGAGTGTTGTAAAGTAGTCACCGCTCCAAGCTCACTCCCGGGATGGACTACAATCTCATGTTTAGTTAACTAATTTGTATTGAAATTGTAATCCATCCCGGGAGCGAGCTTGGAGTGGTGACTACTTCACAACACACACAGGGATCATGGGGAACACAAGTAGCCCCCCTCCAGAAGGAAGGACAGTGTCAGCACCAATTCAGAGATGATTGGAGGATCTACAGCCGAGTGATACACAAATAAGATACATTGTTGTTCATAGTTAAGAGTACTTGAATGCATTTTTAAAATGTAACTTCTGAGTTTAGTGTCACTTTAAGAATAGGAAATGTCATATATTGAAGCATACCAGTCTTTAGATGTGGTGGCTGCAATTGTTTTCATTTTTCAGCCTTTTTTTCCCATTGTTTCCCTTGTGCTCCTGCCAGTGACACACTTCCTGTCCTAGGGTAACAAGCCCACTCACTGTAATGTATCAATGGGGCAGCGTTGTCACCTTTGGACAGGGTTTCTGAACTCTTCCCTCTCTACTCTTCTCCATACATAGAGGGGTGCTGTTTTTTTGGTTCAGAGGTATAAGAGTGCAGCACAGGCAGATAGCCTGTTATCAGCCGGCAAGATTTCTGGCAGGATCAACAGGTATTTTTTTTCACTTGTTGAACAGATATAATGAAAACACTTCCAATTGTAGATTATAAAGAGCAAAACAAACAAAAGATCGTTGTTAGCGTTCAAATCTCCTTAAATATAGAACATACTTGCTATACAATACTATATCCCAATAAAGCAGCAAAAATAGTAATATAAATATAGATATAGTAATTTGTTCCCTGTAGACTTCACCCTACACGTTACAATCTCACTATACAACCTTTGTACAATCTCCTTTGGATTTACCAAAGCGATGAAATCTAATCTATCCATTTCATTTGTAACTATTTAGGAAAGCCTCTGTATGTAAAGGAGATTGTACAGGCAGATTGTAACGTGTGGGGTGAGTTTTATAGTTTATCCTTTTCTGAAACTTGAACTTTTATTTAAAATTGATTCTAATGGGGCATTTACGGTCAGATTAGCAGGTGGTGTACCCCTCGGACCTGTCAGATGTGAAGCCCCCAGGGGTACCACTGGATGAAATTAAAAATATTGCCATTGCAGGCATACCCTCCCCCACCTGCTGGTACTCACAGTGCAGTTCTGGCCCCCGATGTAGCAGCAGTCCAGCCCTTAGCCAGTGTTCCAGGGGCAGTGAGGCGGCCTTCATGTGCTCTGCCCCTGGGGCAGGGACCCCCGTGAAGCCATTGTAGGGGAAGTGGGGGTGCCCGGTGCTCAGGGTGGGCAGGTGGTAGAATGGAGCCGGGTACAGCCCATGCAGGGGCAAGTAACTCGTCTTGGGGTACATTTGTGATAAAGGGGTCGAGGGAGCCACTGCAGTCTCTCTGCCATGAAGGGGTAACAGCCGGGGGCTTTCTTCTGCCAAGAGGGCATCAATTCTGAACTTATGGGAATTGTCCATTCCTTTCTGCATGGCTGGAGGAAGGAGGCTGCTGGTCCTGATGTCAGCTTCTGGCAGGTGTCACTCCACTAAGATGAAGTTGGCAAAATCTTTGGCTCACTGGTGAGCTGTGGTGATGATTGCAGCGACTAATACATTGCTGCAGGATGTAGGTGCGGTGGTAAGTGTTTCCTCCAATGCCGTCTTTATCCCAAACTCCAACAGCTCATGAAAAGTTCTCACCCAGCGGCATGAACAACCTTCCTTCTTTTGCTACAGTCAGTTCTGCACAGTGTCTGATCCTTGTTGGTCACCTCCTCTGCTTGTTCTGCTCGTGTGTCAACTTCTTTCATCTACTTTCCAAGTCCTGGACCCGGCTCCCAGCTTCTGATTGGTCCTCAGAGACTTGCCTAACTCCCCCCCCCCCTTCCCTTACCCCTTCCCTACTAAGTGGAAGTGTGACAGTTCACTAATGAGCTAATTAGCCACTCATTTGAAGCCCCGCCCTCCACAAATCCATTTAAATATTTATTTCCTTGTATGTCTACTAAGTAATGCACCGTGAAAGGAGGTTGTGTCAGCAGGAAGGGAGGTCACAGCAGCAGGGAGCCTGGAACACAAAAAAACTCTTTCATGGAAATAGATTGCATTGAACTTGTCACCTTTCCCCTCTGTGAGAATGTGCAAGGAGGCAACCTGTGGCCGGGGCTGATGTTGGAGGACAACTAGGGGGTCTCAAAGTGCAGCTGCCTGGCAGGCTTGCTGGGATTTGCAGTTCCACAGTGGCTGGAGAGGAAGAACTTATTCAATGAAGCACATATTCTCTAATGAATTATCCAATTATCTGTCTTCCTCTCTCATTTCTCACCCTCTCTTCCACTGTCTCTTCCTCTCTCTCTTCCTCTCTCACTTCTCTGTGTCTCTTCCTCTCTCTCCACTCTCTTTTCCTCTGTTCTCACTGTCTCTTCATCTCTCTCTTCCTCTCTCACTTCTCACCGTCTCTTCCTCTCTCTCCACTCTCTTTTCCTCTGTTCTCACACTCTCTTCCTCTCTCTCATCATCTTCCTTTTCTCGCTGTCTCGTCCTCTCTCTTTTTACTGTATCTTCCCCTCTTGCTCTCTTCCTCTCTCTCTTCTCACTGTCTCTTCCTCTCTTTCTCTCCTCACTGTCTCTTCCTCTCTCTCTCTCTCCTCACTGTCTCTAATAAAATCCATAACAATGCAGTATACCTAAGTATCATGTTGCCAGTGTTTGGGGTGTTGCTGTAGTAACATTCATTCCGGATCTCACACAGAAATATTATGTGATTACACTACATGCGACTCTATAGCGGACATATTCAAATTTGCTTTGTGTTATTTTGACCCTGATGAATGATGTGACCAGCTGAATCTGTAACAGTCCGTCACATCCATTTATTGTGCAGATGTATTTTGTTTATAACGTTTACATTGTAAATAGATATTTATCAACAGTAATATGTTTATTTTCTATTATAAGTTTATAAGTTGAATGCTATCTTAAAGCAATTACATTTGGAAAGCATTCAAACATTATTGTTTTAGATCGCTCTGTGTGTCTAATGTGATCTATCTATCCATCTATCTATCTATTGCTATATATGTTGTATCCATTACTATATTTTTTTACCAATTAATTTATCTGTTATCCATTTATATCTATTTTATATATGACTATATTTATTTAACCTATTACTTTATCTATTTTCCATCTCTCTCTCTCTCTCCCCCCTCCCCTCTTTCTCTTTCTTTCTTTATCTATCTATCTATCTATCTATCTATCTATCTATCTATCTATCTATTTATCTAATGTATGTATTGTATCTATTGGTATTTTTTTTTCCTATACATATCTTTCTATCTATCTATCTATCTATCTATCTATCTATCTATCTATCTATCTATCTATCTATCTCTCTTGTATATATTACTATATTTTTTATCTATTTTATCTGTGATCTTTTTAACATATTACTGTATCTATTTTCTATCTATCTATCTATCTATCTATCTATCTATCTATCTATCTATCTATCTATTATATTATATATATTTGTAAATCTATTTGACCTAATTACATTTTTCTATCTATCTACTTATTGATTGTATATGTATGTAAATCTATTTTATCTATTATTATATCTATCTATCTATCTATCTATCTATCTATCTATCTATCTATCTATCTATCTATCTATCTATCTAACCATCCATCCATCCAACCATCTATCTCTATCTCATTTTATTCTGGCTATCCAACTTGCTTTATACCAACATCTATCTATCTATCTATCTATCTATCTATCTATCTATCTATCTATCTATCTATCTATCTATTTATCTTTTGCTATATATGTTGTATCCATTACTATATATTTTTTACCAATTAATATATCTTTTATCCATCTATACTGTATCTATTTTATATATTACTATATTTATTTATCCTATTACTTTATCTATTTTCTATCTATCTATCTATCTATCTATCTATCTATCTATCTATCTATCTATCTATCTATCTATCTATCTATCTATCTTAGGTTTTTCTATCTAGCTACGGTAACTGCAAGATAGTTAATATAGTATGAACAGCATGTTATGTATTTGTTATAATGTTTCCCCTTATGATTTACAGTGTTGTTTATGTGATAGTTTTGTTGATGTTAATTTATTAAACTCCTTTATAGCCCACAATTGACCAACTGGCATTCTTCTCTCGCAGCATTATCAGAGCAGAAATGAACATATTGATCCCTGTTTAATAAGTTCCCCTCTCTGTTCCTCCCTCGGTCCGATGTCACATCAGTTACTGGGAAATTGCAACCTTTAGCAAATGATCTTTTAATAGTTTTATGGTGCTGTGGATAAGGCCCGCAGCTGGTGAGCCCAGGACCTGTGACAGTGAAATCTCTGATTGGAGATGTGAGACATAATCTCCCCATTTTATGACACAAAGGATACATTGTTGGTGTGCAGGTGACTTGTCATATCCTGATATGACTTCATAGAGCCGCCATTCCCCCCCTCTTATCTGACCGCTGTCATTAAACAGTTTCTTTACAACCCTGGAAATGTAGTTCATCCAGGCAGATTAAACACCTCTCCAAAACTAATTAGCTGTCATTACAACTCACCACCAATTACAGATCAATTCCTGTTTACAGCAACACAGCCTTGAAGAAGATGGCTCCACTGATACAGTCAGCAGCTGATAACAGGAGAGAGACAGAAGGGTAAATGATTATATTATTCAATGTATACAATATATAGCCCTGTCATCCATCCCTATGGCTGGGATGGGCAGAAAATGACTCAACTTCCTCATTACAGCACCTTATCAAATCTAAAAATCATATACAGAGAAGGGCAACAGTGCAGTGTCAGATTCCTCGCATCACCTTTCATCATCTCGTGGAGTCATCTCGTGGCCCAATGAAGTACTGATGGGGTGGTCATAATAATCTGGCCACTACTGTATATATTATTTTCCCAAAAAACAAGAAAAGTTAAAGAGAACTATGGGATCAGTGCTTTTCCCCATAGTTCTCCTAAGGGTAACGGGAGGACACAAACTAGCGTCCTCCCGTCACCCAAAGATCAGTATACCGCAAGCTGTATACTGAGGCCGCTGCAGCCGGAACGGATCCCGACAATGCTTTTGAGATCCACCCAGCTGCGTGAGTGACAGCGGGCTCTGCCTAAGAAGAGCTGTGAGCGCTTCATCCTGACACTGTCTATTGTGCTGACACTGTCCTTCCTTCTGGAGGGGGGCTACTTTTGTTCCCCACGGTCCTTGTGTGTGTTGTAAAGTAGTCACCACTCCAAGCTCGCTTCCGGGATGGACTACAGTCTCATGTTTAGTTTACTAATTTGTATTGAGATTGTAGTCCATCCCGGGAGTGAGCTTGGAGAGGTTAGCGTCACTTTAATATAAATGCTGTTAGGTGTGCTGTAGTAATACAATGTATGATGTATAATCATGATATCATTTTCTTCTCATTCTTAGCCAGGTTGAATATTTTTAAATGTTAATTGTTAACAGAACTGTTACATAAAACACACACACAGTTATTTGTCAACCTACATTCACTGTCAGGTGAAATACATTACTGCAGGAGAAGATTACACAACCTCAACCAAAGACACAAAGCCTTGTTGTTTCATCACATCATTTTGCCCATACACCTGCAGACAGGTAGGTCCTGATTGGAAAGGAGCTCAGGAGATGGTGTGAACAGACCCCAATCAGGTACAGTAACAGTATCCTTTTAGGATAAATATTCTAACTACATAAATAAAACCCGACCATTGTAAGCACCCCCGTCAGTCAGGGCTCCTTAACATGGGCAAAAGGGGCAGTTGCCCTGAGCCCAGTTATTGTTGTGGGGCCCAAAGCAGCTGCCCCTTGAGCCTGCAAAACATACATATGCAGCTCCGTTCTGTTTACTATGTTTTCTGAGTGGCATAGTGTTGCTCTATCCCTGCCATACGCTGCGTGATCACGTGACGTCTCACGCAGGGTCACGTCTCACGCGGGGTCACGTCTCCCTCTGACGTCTCTTCCTATCTGCTGGAGGAGACGAAATTGCATGGCAGGGGTGCGGTGGGTAGGGGTGGGGCGTTGCCAGTGGGGGCCCAAGGTCCAATCAATATTAATGATGGCCTTCCTGCCAGTGTTAAATGGGTTTGTCTCTGTCTCAGAAGATGAAAATCACCAGCACTCAACAAAAAGCATGTAGTTTGTTTGCTTTTTATTGAAGTATTGTCACAATCGGCATTTAGCCAACGTTTCGGGGCCACGCCGGGTCCTTTTTTTTGGGCAACATAGTGACAAGTGCATATATAAACAAAAGCCGACCATTGCAAGCACCCCTGCCATTGGTAAATGGTTTGTCTCAAGCAGTTACAGAACGGATCAAAACTGCGTCCAATTTATTCCAGTGGTATTTTGGGCTCTAGTTCACACCGGAGCGTTCAGTTCCAGAGCATGTGGAAAACTGCAGCTTGCCC